TTGTTTATGGCCCAGTTAAGATTAATGTAGTTTAGACTTGTATCTGCAAAGTTTAATGCCATGAACCACTTTGCATGAAAAAAAGAGATGCCAGTCTGTCTGTGGAGTGTTTTACTCTTTTAGGAAGAACTGTCTTCTCCAATTTTTAAGAAAGAAACTTTACTTCTCTACATAAAAAGTTTTCAGAATAAGCATCATTGTGATACTTTCCACCATCTGCTTTTACGGGAATAAACGTCAAATCAAACTAGATTACTGTATCATTTATGTTGTTATTGTATCGTTTCAGCAGTCCCTGCAGCATTTCGCCCACTTTGTGCTTTCTTCTTCACAGGCATGGTTTTCATCCAACCTACTGAAGCTCCTCTTCCTAACTTCTCTCTGCTCTCAGAGGAATACATTTTGCGATCGCGACTTTCTCCTCCCTCAGCACAACTTTGCAACCCAAGACGGAAAAAAAAGAAAAAAGAAAAAAAAGAAAAACAATCCTTCTTCTCGCGATAGTAGCTCGATCAAGCAGCCGCCATATTCTGAGACAGTATTTTGATTCGTATCTCCTGGAAGTGAGGAAAAAGAGAAAAGTGAAGTAGTGCCGAGGGGAGGGGGCAGAAGACGAGGAGCTGTCACAAAGGTATTCCCGAGTTTCTGTCAGACAGCGGAGGGCCTCGGCTCGGTTTACCCCCCCCCCCTTACGCTATTTCGAGGACACACAAGGCCCGGGGCCTCGGTGCATTTGGCTCTTCTTCTCCCTGCTAGTCGCTGGACCCCTTACCGCTTTTTTTCCCCCAGCTCCGCGGCCCTGCGGAGGCCCAGCGGCTGTCTCGGGTGTTGAAGGCGGCCCGGGGAGCGGCGGGGACGGGAAAGGCAAGTTCCGTTTAATTAACACGGTTTCCAATTAGCAGCCGCCATTCGAAATATCGTTCGTCTCGCTTCGGCGTGGAGGAAAAGAAAAAAGGGGAAACACATTCGAGTGTCTTCCGCGGTTAGTGCTTTTGTGGACGGTCCCAGTCAGTTGAAAAACCTGACAAAAAAAAAAAAGTTTTCAGAAGTGGAAAAAGTTTTTGGGTCTACAACAAGCAGCAGGCTAAAGGCAGCTAATTCGGGTGTTTCGAAGCTGAAGCCAGCTACACGGAGTTATCAAATCACCGCAAGGTTTGAGATTTAGTTCCTATCGTCTCCTCTGTGTCCTCTTTAGTGTTAAAAGCCCCGAGTAGCAATTATGGGCCGCTTTATTAAAGTATTCCGCTGCCTGGCCATACATGTTTTGTAGCCCGTGTTAGCCCATGCTACTTTTTCCATTTGAACTATCCGTTGGAACGCCTGAAGATCAGTCGTGGATGGAAACGTTCAATCATAAAAGTTTTAACTTCATGTAGCCTCCAAAACGGCTTGTTTTTTTTCTTTTTCTTTTTCTAACAGTCGCCCAAAACTAGTGGCCACATCTGAAGTACTTGAAAAACACCTATTATTGTTTTTATTATTGTTTTCTGAGATGAATAGGAACAGTGAGGTTGCTTATAGCCTTTAAGCTCCTGTTTGTCTCCTGTCCTTCACTAATGCAAGCAAAGCTTCTGAGGTGCCCTCAATGGATGGGTTTTGTTGCTCAAAAACAGCCCAAAAGGGGTGAACATGGATTCTAGTTCAGTCTCTAACCAACTAAGGGCATCTCCATACTATAGTAGAAATATTCTTGGCTTTTGGGAGGTTAAGTTTGACTGTTGCAGGCCACCTAAATTGCTTAATTGTTCTGGTTACAGCAGGGATGGAGTCCCCCGGTGGAAGTTAAGCTCTAAAGAGATGTGGTTTGTAGTCACTGAACTGGCAGGGTGGACGGGCCGGTATGTAGGACTTCTGTGAACAGCTGCCAAAAACACGGAGGTTGTTTTAAGGATGTGACAGATCGTGAACGTTAAAGCAAAATGCGTTTTTCCCTGCACATCTTTGAGATAGTTAATGTGTCCCTTGTTGGTTGTTTTCTTGTTGTGTGTCTATCCACACCGAATAAGTGTTTTGTTTTTTTCTTTGTTCGCCGTCTATCAAATGCTGCTAAATATGGGTCAAAGATGGAGATTCTGTAGGCAAAGTTTTTTTATGCTAGAAGCTGAACACACTTGGTGATGTCAAGGTTTGAAGCTGTTTAATTAGAAATGACACAGCTCTGCCAGACTTTTTATATCCGCCTTCACTTTGTTAGTCTTCCCTCAGTAGTCTGGCTCTTTTTGTTTTTCAGCTTCACAATAAATTGAGTTTACTCACAACTCCCAAAGAAGCCAGTCACTTCTCTAGCGCTGTAATCTGTGTTGTCACAGCTCCACGGTGGGAGTGAGTGTGTGTCATTCATTAGCAGCTTGTGCCCGTCTTGACTCGAAGTCAACACAGCACTTCCTGACCAATAAGCTGCAGTGGCCAACTGTTTATAGGTGCAGACCCTAACTGAAACCATGTGTTCTGGAGCTGGGTAAATATGTTGCCAGGAGACGGAGCTGATTTGCCACTTGTGAGCCTGCTGAAGCTCGTGTGATAAGTGCTAGCCAGGATCTTTAGCAGATCACGTACAAACGGTACAAACACTTTATTTGGATGTTCTTTGCTAACATGCTAAATGAACCCTTGGGGAAACGGCAGATCTCATGTGTAAACTTCTTTTTTTTTTGGCTTGTTGATGGAGGTTAAGAAATGATTAGGCTTCTTGTGTTTTCCTCCGTGGAGTCAGACAAGGCCTAGATTGTGTTTCAGAAGCAAATCTGCGGCTTGTTGTTGCGAGGATTGTGCCAACACTTACAGGCTTCTTTCCTGTAAAACCTGTTTCCTGATTTATCATTCGAGGTTTTTACAGTTATCACAACCGAGCAAAGAGTGGGTGTGTGTCGTTGTTTTCCCCTATTTCACAAGGGGAGAGATAATTACTGCGTACGAGTGTGGCTGGATGGAATAGACACGCTTGTTTGGAGTGAATGAGCAGTGTCAGTTTAACTGAGCCACGTCTCTGAGTGTTTTTTAGTCTGCAGTCACAGATTTTGTATTATTATTGCTTAGTTTCTATGCCCATTCGCTTTTCCAGATAAGGCAACGGTGTGTTTTTTCTTCTTCGGCTAGTTAAGTGTCAGCCTGCTAACTGTGAGTCAAGTAGGTGGAAAAGAAGAATCCATCACATGGCCAGTGCTGCAGACTCAGGAAGAGAGCTTGGTGTTTTTAACCCTCCCCCCCTCTATAGAGTGTGACTGTCAGGAAGAAAAGCCCCCTCCCCCTGTCGACTTCTCCTGACTTCTCTACTTTAAATGGAGGCTTCCATTACACATGCTCCTCATGGTCCTCCTCAGTCTGAGGGTTAAGTAACACGGAGTGACACTGAGGGCTACGCCTGCCCGAGTTTACAATGCGACTATCTGTAAGCAGCCACATTGCTGATTAGGGTCTGTGCTGCCTTCGTTTAGCCTACAAATCCTCGCTGTGGGGTACAACTAGGCCACACCTTTCTTGACTCACAGGCCAGAAACAAATCAGAAAACCCGGTTTCTTGGTTGTAAAGATCTTTGTGCAGACCAGCTGCCTTTTATTAGTAAAGCCATCACATGCACCAGG